GAAAAGCCGCGGCGCCGCCCCCGCCACACTGTCCAGACTGCACGTGCCCAGGACCTGTGCAGTCATTGCTAGCGGTGAGTGAGGCACTCACTTCTGCAGGGAGCTGCTGAGACTGCAGTATCAGCAGAGACAGCACATGCAGGCTCAGACCTTCTTGAGTGAAGCTGCCTCTGAAAAATACAAGTGTGGATTTTTTTTTTTCCAAGGAGAGGAAATCTGGCATTTTTGTAGCTTGCTTGTTTTGAGGTCATGCTTTTTTGAGTTTGTTTCTGCAGCTAGCAGGCACCAAAACTTCTCAAGCAAAGACAGCAATCACATGGCTCTGGGAGTTGAAGTTTGAAGAGAAAAGGAAATGCATTGTGAGACCCATGGTACAACTGAAGGGTAATTTTGCTAGGGCTGAAATGTGCAGTGCCCACAGTCCCCAGGCCGGCTGGGAGTTAAAGACATACAATCTATCCCGACTAGAAGTGAAAACTAAAGAGTCAAACATTGTTTTCCCCCCACCTATGCATCAATGCCTACTGCAAAGCCTATCACACCTGCGAAAAGGACTCACATGGACTTAGCTGATAGGCCAGCCCTTTCCAAAACAGGGCCAGAGTCACACCAAATCCTGCAGTCTTTCCATATGTAAAACTTTGGCTGCCTTAGGTGAAAGTTGAATGATGTTACCTCCCATTGGTCTAATAATCTCAGCTGTGTTTCTTTAATGCACTATAATGGGCATACTACTATATGCTACTATAATTCACAGGATAAATAAATCCTATCTTCAGAGTTTATTGCCTAAGAAAATGTATTTGCCAGCTTGGAGCCTTTATCTTGTGGCTTCTGAGAAATGCGATAGGTATTCAGATGTATACAGCGAAAACAGCCCCTGGCCTGCACTCCTAGCACTCGGCACGTGCAAGTCAGGTTCTGTATAATATATAGTTACAGGAAAAAGAGAAAGTAGGTAGGAAATAACAAGCATTGACTACATATTTGCACATAAGTGAACATATACTTAAGTCCCTAGGGTTCTTGTGCATTGTTTATGAGTTGGTCTTTTTTGTGTTTGTTTTGCTGTTTTTGTTTTGTTTTTTTTAAACCTTCTTTCAAAACCTTTTTTTTATTTTATCTGTTTGCTTTTATGAGAAACCAGTATTATCTGAGCACTCATATGCTCTCCGTATGTTCTACATAATAAAATTTACTAGGCTCCATTCATGCTCTAACCTGGCGTGGAATCACTTGGTGCATTTGATTCAAGGGCTAATAAAACAAAGCCTTCCTGATGCTGTGCAAAATAACTACTGCAATTGGTAGCAACCTAAAAGGAGCCGGGTTTACAGTCCGGTGAGCTGTCAAGGATGCAGGTCAAGTTGCAGAGTTGAACCTGCTTCACTTTCCCATAACTTTCACATAACCCAAGGAACAGGGTCCCAGGAGCGCTCTGGTCAGTGGTGCTTTTTGCCATTGACTTTGATAATCTTTGTGTCTAGCCTCAGAGTAAGTGGCTCCAACAGGTGTAGGGGTGCAAAGCCACTGCCTTTGGTCTGTTGTCATCAATACTTTACATAAAACTCTCAGGAGACAATGAAAGCAGCACTTGGATCCCATTAAAAATATATCTGTTTCTTAGCAATCCTGTTTGAACACTATAGAAAGAGGGTCTAGTTTTCACCCAACTTCTATTTCCTCCTCCATTGCAAAGGCCTGTGGGAAGCGTGAGGGTCTTGAAGAGTTTCCTATGTACTCAGTGTGCCGCTGCGGACGCGGCACCGCTAGCGCGGGGCGGGCAGCAGAGGGAGCACGAAGCCCGGCTTTTAGATTTCACTCTTACATAAACAGCTGCTACTGTTTGGGGGGTTTCTTGATTTTATTTCTCTGGAAGAGTTTCTGAAAGGCAAGGCGATCTGCGGCTCGCATGTCAAACCTATGGCAGTCCTCAGACCGCTGTATTTCCACGCTATGTGTTAGCTGCCTGTCACCACCCTCTATGGCCGTGTCTACCTCTCCCCTCCTCCCCACCCCAAAAATGAGTTTTCTTACAGGATTTCCAAGTTGGGACACACACAATTTCCCCTGAGTTCATGGTGTCTGGGTCTTTAGACTGTCACACAAACTGTAAGGTTTGCGCATTTGTGTGAACACAAAGAGCTTACATGCAGCACCAGGTGTTAATTTTAAAAGCAAAAATAAGTATTTTGCAAAGCGAGAGGGGAAAAGGAAGGTGCCAGGAAGAAAAGTGCATGTTCTGCACGCAGGCTGTATACGCTGCGTTGTACAACATGGTATCTTGAAACACAGCTTGCTAAAGGGAACCAAGCAACTTCAAACCCCATTTAAAAGGCAAAGAGGCACCAAGTGGTTATTTTCAGCTACACAAACAAACATTTGGAAGCTCGGTGCACCCGTTATGATGCATCACTGTGAGATTTTTTAATTAGTAGACAACCCATTTTGTGTATTAAAGTATTTATTCCTTAGTAAGAATTTTTTTTTAAATCACAAAATAGTGTGGAAATATTTAGATAATAGAATTCATGGAGTGCTGGAAAATACTGAATATAAAGATTGATTTCTAATATATCACATACTAAACTGTTCTAAAACAGCTGGTTTCTTGCAGACAGGATTTATTTTTCTTTTAATAATTTAAGACAGCATAAGCTTGTATCAAGCGTAAGCATTGTAACAAAAGTGCAACTTTTTTCAGCAAGTCCTCCCAAAAGATATTTAACTCAAAATATCATTAACACGTATTTTCTCCCTACAAAAATAGCATGTCAGACATCATTAATTGGATGTATTAACAACTATTTACATACAGCCACTCTGTAGGCTAGTAAGATTTTCTTTTTGTTTAACGTTGTTTAAACACAGCGTTTGAGGCAAACAGTAGCAACAGCAGCAGCAAATGCACCAAACTGACTAACAGACCCAGGGTACTTGCTCACTCCTCGTCAGACTGTTGTGTCTCACCTCTTACATAACATTCAAGTGAGATTTCTCACAGTGCTACCTTGGCAACAAACTAAAAATATCTAGGCAAGGTCTTGGTTTAAGCCTTATTATAAAAGCTTTATCTGTGTGATTATCTGGCGTCTGGTTTGTCTCCAGAAAGGGAAATCACGATATTTGGAAAGTCGGGGAGGGGAGGGAAGGAGCATGAAGGGTGGGAAACAGCCCAAAAGGAGACTTACCCCGAATCAGCTAATGGTTTCTGATGGCAAAGCGAGGCGCTTGCCCACGGCCTCGGGTGCGCCTGTCCTTCCGAATTTAGGAGGAAAGGAGCTCAGGCTGATCCGTTGCACTGTGTTTTCTTGGGGGAGGAGGGGGCTTTTTTTTTTTTTTTCCTATTTAGTTCAGTGCAGAAACATTCATTTGATACAGCAGGGTTCGGATGGTGGTGGGGGCTCTCTGGGAAAACGTACTGAATTAAATAAAGACGGGGTGAGGACAAATGCACTTGCCACAACCTGTATGCCTTAGCTGGGAAAAAAAAATAATGAAAGGGTAAGGGAAAAACAAAATAACAAACAACAAGAAATGGAAAGGAAACCCCAAGCACATGGTTACGTAAGGGGTGCGGGCCTCTCTCCCCTGCGCACCCAGCCCCGGGCGCTCCAGCAGGGCAGGTCCGGGCTCAGCCCCGTCCCTCCTTGGTCCGTAAAGTGCTAACACGGGCGCAGGGCCGCCCACCCGAGCAACAAGTGCAGCTTGAACACGGGAGGGACCCACATCAAAATAAGGTGCAACATTTACCAGAGAGACAGAGACAGAGAGAGAATGGGGAGGGGAAAAAAAAAAGTATCCTTACTATGTTTTCTTCCTTTTCTTCTGTTTTTGTGTCTCCTCAACACGTTTACGCATGTATAAAGCCGAACACTTAAAAAAAGCCCGAGTA